CAGGATCCCATCGAGGAAGTGGGTTTGACAGTTTTCCAGGCGAACAGATGAGGTCATAGTAAGACGAGGTGTTGGCTGAAGGACTGAGCTGCACCCACCTGGCTCCTCCAGCAGCCGGAGGAATTAGCTCATGGTTGGCAGGGCCTCTTCCAAAGGGGCAGGAGCGTGTCTGGACAGCAGTCCCTGCGTGCAGCGTGGGTCCCCGGTGCTGGTGCATCTCTTGCTGCACCCCCACCCCACTGCCAGGCTTGTCTTCCCTGCTACTAGGTGGCCTGCCTAGTGGGGCACGCCTGGGCTGGTGGGATTACAGGGTCTGATCTTGTTTTTCAGGATGCCTTAGGTCCCAGGTCTGGCAGCTCCTCAGTCCCGGGAAGGACCTGACTTAGAGGCAGAGAAAGCCTGCTTGGCAGGGTGCAGGAGCTCCTGCTTCGTTCAGTGGGAGGGAGGCTCTACTGCTCTTCCAGCCCGGGAAGCTCCCAGCGCTGGTGTCTGTGCCCTGCCACCTGGGCAGTGCCCGAGTGTGCGCTGAATGGCAGACATTCCTCCTGTCACACATCCTTGGGCTTGCCTGGTGACATTCCAGCTGGAGTGGAAGGAAGAAACCCTCTGGGCTTCTTCAGGCACCAGGGAACCCGGGGCCCCACACTCCCTGGGACACTGTCTGATGACCAGGGGGACAGATCCTGTCTCTGCAAATCCACATCATCTGGGGTGCTGGACAAGGGGGGAGGTGGCAGGCAGGGCTCAGTCCCTGACAGCTATTTGTGACCACACATTCCAGTGGTGAATCCCTACCTGAGGCCTCTGTGCCTCCCATAAACACACACTCACACACCTCAAGGATAGTAACAGTCTTCAGATGAGTACAGTTTCTTACGGTTTGCAGAGAACTCTCACACACAAGGTTCCAGTAGGTCCCCAGCCATTGCACAGGTTAGATTAGGAGACTGAGGCCAGGAGGACAGGACTGAGCCCAGGTCTTTGGCTTGTCAGGAGAGCAGTGCTGGGACCAGAAACCAGGCATTGGCCCTGGCCTTGGTGTTCTGCAGAGATACCACACTGTTACACCTGTGTCCCCAGGTGGGTGAGGGGTTACCAATATGAGCAGGATGGGGGGAAGCAGAACACAGAACAGGCCTGAGTAAGGGGGGCTGTCTTCTCTCATCCATGGCAGGATGGGCTCTTCATGCAATTTATTAAAGTTTATTTCAAATTAATATGAGGGCACAAACGATTAGGTTACATTGCTTGCATTTAGGTAAAGTTCAAGTTATAGTTGAGCCCTTCACATAGGGGACCTGCTGTATACCCTTACACTGTGCCTGTTAGGTGAGTCTTTAGGCAATTTTGAGATCTGAAAATTTGGAGGTTTCGTGTCAGTTGGCTTCTGGGGCAGGATGTAGGGGGTAGAGATTGACTTGGCCACCTGGCAGGTCAGGGACCAGCAGGATGATGGCCCAGTGGTCTGTGTGATGTGTCTGTGATGTGGTTCTGCTAGGTCGAGTCATCTTAACAATAATGTTTTTCAAAGTGAGACAGTGTCTAAGCCTCACTGTATACCCGGCCTGGTGCTAAGAGCTCTCTATTTGTGACCTTATTTCATCCTCTCACTGACCTATGTGGTCACTATTACTGTCCCTAGAGCTGGCTTCGTGGGTGTCAGACTGGCACAGGTTAATGCTCTGCTGTTGCAGTCTTGAAACATTTAGGACTTTTAAAACGAGGAGCCTCATGTGTACACTTTGCACTGAGTCCTAAAAATTACGTAGCCAGGCCCGGTTGCTCCCGCTTCTCAGAAGGGAACCAGAGGCATCGAATGGTCTGGAAGCCACCTGCCCAATCTCACAGAGCTGACGGCTACCCTAGGGGGTCTAAGGCAGCCCACACACTCTGGAGTAGGACGAGGCCCACCCAGGGTCAGATGGCCAGAGACAAGGCTCGATTCCCCCTTTGTGAAATGGGGTGATCCCACCTGCCTCTGAGGCCACGAGGCTCACCTAAGCCAATTCGCACTCAGTGTTTTAACGTACGAGGCCCAGCAGAGCAGAGCTCATTGGCCCCTGACTCACAGCTCACTGGTGCTCCTGTTAACACCTCCAAGTAGTCCCGATGGGATCTTCGTCAGCCTTCTCTGAATTGGTTTAGAAAATACTGGTTAAAATAAGTTCTCCTTACCTGCAGTGGCCACGTAAAGTTACAGACTTGTCATGGTTTCCCACCACAGGGGAGCCCCTGAGCTTCCGGGTGGGTGCCTAGCCCTGTGCAGCAGGAGTTTGCTGCCAGGAGGGCAGGCATCCCACCTTCATCCTCCTCATCTGTCTTATCTGCTCACAGAACTCAGGGAGGGAGGACGCTGCCTGTAGGTCTGTGTGTGATTGCGTCCTCTTCAAAAAGCTTCTCTGGGTTTGATCAGTACTCCCTGTCACTGGGAAGGGAACCCCAGGGGTACAGCCACCCGGGCACACTGAGGACAACTGGGAGGGGCCTCACAAAGCAGCTATTAAGTCTTTACATTGCAGAGATTCTGACAGTGAAACTGCACAGATAGACCCCCCCAAATTCACAGAGCATACCAGGTCTTCAGAGGGTGTGTGCAAGCTTTAGTTCTTTTAATCTGCGAGTGACTGCGGGGAGTCAGTATTGTCAACCCCTTTTACAGATGAGGAAACTGAAGCTTAATAAGCCTGATAGGACTCAGAGCTCAGCCACTTGATCCCAAGCCTGGAGACAGATATTCTTCACGATGGCCACACACTCAGACCACCTGGGGAGCCAAAAAATCCACCGCTGTCTGAGTTATCGCAGACCAGTGGAGTTAGAATCATCAGAGAGTGCACATGTTCCTGAAGGCGGGAATGGGGATTCCCTACTCTTGAGTGGGATGGAGGCCCCACTGCAGGGGCAGGCTGGCAGCGAGGAGCGAGGCATCCTCTCCCACTGCAGGCTGAAACAGAAAGCTCTGCTCTTCTTTCTTTGGGAACACCTCCAGGCCACGCCAGGCAGGAGTCCTACAACCTCCCTGGGTGGCCCGGCCGCCATTTGGCTTCTCTCACCCTTCCTTCCTTCCCTTCCTTCCTTCCCTTCCTTCTCTCTCTCTCTCTCTCTCTCTCTGGCTTCTCTCACCCTTCCTTCCTTCCCTTCCTTTCCCTCTCTCTCTCTCTTTCTTTCTGCAGAGATATTTTGAGGGATATACAAAGCAATAAAAATCTCTCTTCCTTTCCCTTCTTCCTTTACACCAGGAGTAACCGTCTCCAGGCCTGCAAGCATCTCACTATTTTCCTTTAAACTTTATCTTGGACTTCCATCATTCCAAGTCAGTCCATTGCCTTGATAGCTACACTCTCCCAGCACAGATTCTTAGAATTCACCTTGAAAGCCAAGAGCTTCTCTCCTCAGTCCAGGTCAATGTCCCCTAATTTCCTTGACTCCACCTGCCTGATCCCTGGGGACCCAGGACACACAGGAGGGAGGCTTGGAGTCACTTCTCTCCTTGTGCTCTAACACCATGGGTGAGACCCTGGGCTTATGCCTCCCACTGGAAACGGGGAGACCAAATCAGATCACGTAGCTGTGGTCCGTGCCAAGGAGGCGCTACTGTGTGGGCACTTGAGGTGAACGTGAGAACCTCCTTCTAGAACTGTGAGTCACAAACCTCTTCGTTTTAACCATCAGCTTCCTGGCAACAGCTGCAGGCTTATTTGCTTCCTCCTTTGAAGAGGAGAGGCAAGGTGTTGTTCTTGCAGAAGGAGGCTGGGAGTGTGGGCTAAGACTGGCCTGGAAGAGCCAGGCGGACGGCAGGGCTGTGGGGAGGGGTGGGAGGGGGGCGGGAAGGGTGTGGTGATTCCTGGAAGGAGCGGACACACCTGAGTCTGCTGATGGACTCCGGGACCCTTGGGCAGTTGATACACAACGATGAGACCTGGACCCTCAGATCCACGTGACTGGGCTTGTCCCTGAGCTACTGGCTGTGAGATCTCAGCGAGTCTTGGGGACTTGGGTTCCTCATGTGTAAACTGGGATAAAAACAAACCCCTGTAGATGTACTATGGGCTTTAAAGGAGATGACGGAGAAGGATATTTTTTTTTTTTTTGAGACAGAGCCTCAAGCTGTCCCCCTAGGTAGAGTGCCGTGGCATCACAGCTCACAGCAACCTCCAACTCCTGGGCTCAAGCGAGTCTCCTGCCTCCGCCTCCCAAGTAGCTGGGACCACAGGCGCCCGCCACAACGCCCGGCTATTTTTTGGTTGCAGCCGTCGTTGTTTGGCGGGTCCGGGCTGGGGATTCGAACCCGCCACCTTAGGTGTACGTGGCTGGCGCCTTAGCCAGTTGAGCTATAGGCGCCGAGCCGAGAAGGACATTTTGTACCTGGTAAAGCACCCCACCATTTTTCAGTTCATCGTGAACTGCTCTGCACTGAATTAAGGTGTCAAAAATCACCTCACTTCTAGTCCTGAACTAGCAATCAGATGCCTTGTCCTGAGCCTCAATTTACCCTCCTGTGCAACAGCCATGCCAGCCTCTCTGTGGCTGAGGAGGGATTGGGACTAACGTGGTTCTCATCCTTCCCACAGGGCCTCATGCCACCTGCCAGCCCCAGAGAGGCAGGAGCTGCGGTCTGCTCACACCTCCTGGACTGATAGATCTTCCTGGCAAGGGCTGTCCCCAGCTTCCTGCTGCCGCCTGCCTGCGCCTGCCTCTGTGAAGCACGTCACCTACAGGATCCCGGGGCCAGCCACAGACCTGAACCCCAAGCAGTCGCCCCGACAGGGGCTCTCTGCCACTCACTGCACCATCCCTCTCGGCCCTGTGCCAAGAGGAGCCAGATATTGGGAGCCAGATCTTGGGAGCCAAGATCAGCTCCCATTCCAGTGATGCCCCTGGGAGCCACGGCCCCACCTGGATGAGGCCCTTCCAGGGCAGGACCCGCCCTCACCACCCACCGAGGCTGCCACGCTGCTCCCCAGCCCCTCCCGCGTCTGGCTGCCCAGGCAGACCTTAGAATGTCTGTGCCGCGGATCCAGGTAGAGGAGGTGGGCAGTGAAGAGGGGCCAGCAGCAGCGGCAGCTCCCCCTGACGACCACCTGCGGAGCCTGAAGGCCCTCACTGAGAAACTGCGACTGGAGACGCGCAGACCCTCCTACCTGGAATGGCAGGCCAGGCTGGAGGGGCAGACGTGGCCCTTCCCGAGATCAGCTACTGCTGAGGAGCAGGAGGGGAGCTTGGAGCCGGGGCAGTGTGGTGGGGAGGAACTCCTGCTTCCCCCAAGAGAACCCAGGCAGCATCCCCCACCTGCCAGGAGCAGCAGCCCCGGTGCTGGGGCCCTCACCCTGGGCAAGCTGGACGGTTTCCAGAGCATCGACGAGGCTCTAGCCTGGCTCAGGAAGGAACTGGTGAGTGGCTGCCCCCGAGTCCCCAGGAAAGAGAAGATGTCAATCTCTCTGTTTCTGTCTCAGTCTCTGTGTCTGTCTCTCTGTCTCCGTCCCTCTCTCTCCATGTCTCCCCTCCACCACCTGTGCCACCGTTTCTAGCCCCCCACAAGTGCACACCTGTGATCTCCTGTGGGATGAAGGGCAGACCTCATTTTCCACATGTCCATCGGTCCCTGATCACAGGTCCTAATGGGGGAAGACGTTCTGTGCAGGAGAACCTGAGCCCATGTTAAGGTGTTCCTGCCCTTCCCTGACACCACTCCCCGCACCCCTGACTTTCTAGGGCAACTCCCAGAGTGAACCTTCCCACCCTGCCATGGCCCCAGTTGCCTGCCAGTGAATGTCCAGTGTGCTGGCGCTGGCCCAGGGCAGGGCTATACAGGACACCACTGTGTGTAGGTGGGGTGCCCAGCGTGGAAAGTGCTCTGTGTATACTAATAAGTGGTGTGCGGGAGCTTCCCAGAGACCCAGAGACAGCCAGACGTGCCCTGCCCTGCGTGGCTGAGGAGGAGTCTGCCCAGGGGCCAGGGCTGGGACGGTGTTCCAGGCAGAGCAGTCGTGAGCAAAGTGCGTGTTGTGTTTGAGCCAGGACAGCAGCTCCACTGTTTTTCTGCCCACGGGCAAAGCAGGTTCCCATCAGGGCCACCTCTACCCATGTGGGGTGACTCAGCCTGAGAAAGCAGGCGGGGGCACAGAGCTGAGGGCCTGGTCTCTCCTACCCCTTGTGGAGAATCGCTGGTGTCTGGTACTGGCATGGTGGCTTCTCAGGAGAGTCAGGCACAAAGCTATAGGGGTCAACCCCTGTCCTACCCATCACCTGAGGCCCAGGTGACACCTGCAGAGCCAGGCCACCCCAGCCACAGGTGAGCCAGCATCCCTCTTGGGCCAGCAGGTGAGGCAGAGGATCCTGGAAAACAAATCCTCACAGGGGCCTGGAATTCCTCCTGAGCCGAAAGAAACGCCTGGGGTTCCAGGTGGGAAGGGGCTCGGGGACTCGGATCTCTGATTAATTGGACGCCCTTTCTGGCTTTAATCCTCGATGTTGAGAACACTTCCCCAAGCTTGCCATGCTGCTCTGTCTGGGATGGTACCTGGCACGTGTGCATCTGGGGGCTCTCAGAGAAGACAGGGCACCTGTGGGCTCGTGCTGCACCTCTGGGGTGCTCAGTCACCAATGGATGCTTGTGGGGGGTAGGAAAGAGGTGCAGCTGCTCTCTGAATTCCTGAGGCTAAGCTGCTGTGGTTTGTTTTCCTAAGGAGGAACAAAAAGCATTCCCATTAATCAAGGATGCCACTTGTTTTGGGGTTCATTTGAGATTCCATTGCTTCTGGGAGCAGAGGCTTCTATTCTCCAGTAAGTTAGCACCGCCCTAACCCCCTTTGCAGTGGGGATGAGGGAAGGAACCCTCCTCTGTATAATCAGCAGGGAGTCCTCTAGCACTTGTCCCAGGCATCCTTCACAGACAGTGTCCCCCACTCCTGGCTGCATATTAGAACACCCTGAGGAGCTTGCAATGCCCCCAAAGCCATGGCCATACCCCAGATGGAGCAAATAAATGTCTGGAGGTGACACCAGGGATCCTAAACCTCCCATCTACTCCAGTGTGCAGCCTGGGCTGGAAACCCCTGCCTGGGATCTGGGGTCGTGCTCACATCTCTTATCAGACCACTAGCAGAGGTGGCCCAGCCAGAGTGTGCTGGCCAGAGGGAGGAAGGTAAGGAGCTAAGGGGCAGCTGTGGGCGACATGTAGAGCCTGCTCCAGAGGCAGCAGCAGGGCATTCACTGTCAGGACAGATTCGGCTGCCAGAGGCTATCTTCACAGCATCCCAAACTGAGTGGTCCAAGGACCACATCGTTGTTGAGAAGGTTGCATCTCGGAGGGCCGGCATAGCCCAACACAGACTGATGGGCGGGCAGACATGTGGTCCTGCCTGGTACAGGGACTAGACAGTAACAAAGGCAACTTGCAAACCCTTTGATTGGATTGAGAACAGACAGTTCAGCATTTGGACAACAAACACATTCTCATGTTTTTATGTCTCAGTCAAAGCATTAACCTTAATGCCATTCCTAATCCGTCCGGCATCTGTTAGCTCATTGAAGGCGCCTCTAAAAATTAACTTACTTTTAACAAGATGAAAGTGGTTTACTGTGTTGTAAGCCCACAGTCAACTTTTCTGTGCACCTGGACAGGCCTCCATGTTGATCTGTTAGGCTGAAATGCAAATGTTGTCTTTTCTTATGTGGCCAAGAAAACACCAGAAATCTGTAATTTGGTCAGTTGTGTGTGTTTTCCCTACATGAAACTGAATACCCAACTTACTGGGAGTTTTGACCTCAGGGGATGGCAGGCCCTGACCATCTAGCAGCGCTCCTGGGAGCTGTTGGCATAACCAAGGAGGTGGGTGCCAACCCCTCCTCAGAGACAGTGCTGGGTCTGGAAGCACCTCTGGCTGCCCCACCTGGATAAAACCAGCAAAGATGCCCGGAGCAGGGATGGCTGCCTGATCTTGACTGATTTCTAAGGCAAGGAAGGATCCTAACAGCTCCGTCAGAGGTCAGCTGTCCCTCTTAGCTTCCAAGGAAAAGACAACCACTCCTGATGCCCCTGGGGACCTGCAAGCAGATTGGATTTCCCTCAGCGAGTGTCTTGGGGATACAAGGAAAATGGAGATCCTCAAAGCCTGTTGGGGTGACTCCTCCAGCTAAGAAGGCCTGACCTTGGATCACGAGTGGATTTAGAGAATGTCTCATCAGCTGGCTGTGTCAGGCAGGCTGCCCGCCTCTGTACTAGGTGGCTTCGGGCCACCTGACCACTCTAGGCTGAGATCCAATCTTGCTGCTCCCTGGACAGGACTCAGGGCTGGATGAAGAGGTGGTTGTGCAAGTCTGCTGGTTCCAGGCTGCTGGGGTTGCCAGGAAGACACAGCTTCCAGCTTTCTACCCTCCAGGAGGCCTCAGTAGGTGGCCTGGGGGAAGTGGGATGATGCTTCAGGACGGTGTGAGAAGGCACAAGCTAGAAGGGCCTCCACCCCAGAGCTGTGGGATTCTCTTCTCTCCAGCTGAGCGCGGAATTCAGAACATTTCACAGAGGCCTCTCCCTGGGCTTCAGTCAAGTCAGGGGGTCACTCAGCCAGCCCCGCCTGGGCTCAGGGAAAGGGACCAGCCTTTCTGTGTCCTCGCTTCTGTCACACCTGAAGTTCCCTTTGCCAATCTGGAAGAGAAAGAAAAGGGACTAGAAAGTCTTCCTCTTGGTCTGTGCAGGTCCAGATCTGAAAACAAAACATTCTGGCTTCCCGATGGGCTGGCTTAGTGGTGAGACTCCCCAGGTGCTGACAGATAAGTTTTTCTTTAGTTTCAGGCAGGTGTTTGATCCCGGCAGACAGAGGCCCTAAGAAGGTGTTTATGGTTGTTAGCAAAAGGGGAAAGAAACCTGACAAGTTTTAATAATTTAGGGTTTGCTGAGCAGGAGGCCTGTAGAACAGGACTCAGCTGCCCCACTGTGGCCTCCTCTCCAAGCCAGGAGTCCTCCCCGTTAACCCTCTCTTGCCTGTACTGCCTGCTTGGCAAGGACATGACTCTGGTGTGTCCAGGCACAGTCCCCTGCAGCCAGTCCAGTGTTATCCATGTTGACGGAATGGTATGGCAAATGGCATCAAGCATCTTCCAATAGGGACAGAGGTGAGAAATGCAATGTCTCCCATCTACAGAGCATCATACAGTTCCCAAAGTCCCTTCACATACAGTAGCTGGAAGTATTTGTTATTCCCATTTTACAGATGAGTGAGGCTTGGAAAGATTATAGGCCTCGGTGATAGAGAGGCCAAATGACTTGCTCAAGATCCTGGGCAAGGATCTGGCTAAATGGGACCCACATCACTTAGCTCTAGACCCGATCTCTTTCCTTTGCTTTAGACACATCATATGTACCTGTCAGCAGGGCCATGGCTATCAAAAAGCCTGTGCTTAAACCCTGCAGAGTTCAGACATGATGCTTGTAAAAGGCACAGTAAGTTGCCAGCCATGCCTCACAGTAACCTTTCAGCAGTGTCAGCCCAACAGTTTGGTGATGAGGGTTAGGATGAGTAGAGCCTCTCAGCAAGTGCTGGCTGGATTCCAAGTGCTAGGCCAAGCATGTGCTTGCCCAAGGCCAAGTCTTCTCAGCATAGCTTGGGGCATCAGCCTGTTGGCACCAGCAGCCTTCTCCAAGAAGATTCCTCTTCACCTGGGAGAGATACTGGCCTCTTAGGGGTAATTACAGAATTTATAAACCAAGGTACCAGCAAAGGAAATACACCAAACTTCAGTGATCTTTATCTTTATTTCTGAGTGATAACATTATTCTTTTGACTTTTCTGCAGTTTCTAAAAATTCTAACATAGGAATATGTTAAGTATAATCAAGGAAAAAAAGGATTATAAAAATAAAAGAGCAAAGAAAGAGGAGTGCCAGGCTCCACTCTGTCTTGCCAGTGTAATTGCTACACAGTCTTCAGCTTGTAGCAAGTCTACAGGTTAAAAAGGCATCAAGTCTCCTAGAATAAGATATAAATCAGGACTTCAGTCTCTGGAAGTACCTGCTGGATACGAGAGTGGCCAAGGCAGGAACTGCACCACCCCACCCCACCACTGCCCCAAGTCTTCTTTGGAATTCAGATCCCATAAATCTGGACGGTACTGCAGGGTGACCCTAATGTGACTGGCCCATTAATTGGTCACGAGTGCAGTGGGAAAAGCATGAAATTTATCAGAGTTCTCCTACATCCTAGTTGTGTGACTTTAGGAAAACCAATTAACTAATCTTCCTCAGTTTTATTCTCGGAAGATGGGGATAAGAAATCCCTTCTTGGCAGGGTGTCGTAAAGGGAGAAGCAGGAGGCCCAGCAGCTTTAGGGCCCTGAACGCTTTGCGGGCTCCTGGAATGGTGGAGACCTGTGTCACGTGCATTTATACACATCTCACCATTTAATATCCACAGTGAACTTTCCAGGTGGGCACGATTGCTAGCCCCATTTTGCATATGAGAAAACTGAGGTTAAGAAACTTGCCCAAAGTGGGTGCATGGGAACCCTGCTACTCAGGAGGCTGTAGCAAAAGGATTGCTGAAGCCCAGGAGCTTGAGATTACTGGGAGCTATGACGCCACAGTACTCTACCCAGGGTGACAGATGAGAGTCTCTCCATCGGCCACCAGGCCGTTGGTTAGGACTCCTGCCCAGGGGTCTGTCTACGTGCTCACGCCCCCTCCCCTGCCTTCCAGACGGAGATGCGGCTGCAGGACCAGCAGCTGGCCCGACAGCTCATGCGCCTGCGTGGTGACATCAACAAGCTGAAGATCGAGCACACCTGCCGCCTGCACAGGAGAATGCTCAACGACGCCACCTACGAGCTGGAGGAGCGGGACGAGCTGGCCGACCTCTTCTGCGACTCGCCCCTGGCTGCCTCCTTCAGCCTCTCCGCACCTCTCAAGCTCATTGGTGTCACCAAGATGAACATCAACTCCCGGAGGTTCTCTCTCTGCTGAGAAGCCCTGGGAAGGCCGGGCTGGGAGGGAGCCTGGGCCAAGGTACCCCGGAGGGTCCTCCAGAGGCAAGGCTTCCTGCACGGGCGGCTGGGGGGAGGCAGCTCCTCTGGAATGGTGTTACCTGGGGGGCCCCAATTGTGGCCCCAGAGCCTCCCAAGCTAGCTCCTGTTTCCTGCCCAAAGAGTTCTGCCAAAGGGCCACTCCCACGGGATGATAAAGAGAACCTTGTCCAAGAGCGACCCATCCCTCAGTGGCCCACATTTCTGTTTCCTGGAATCACTGGTGCTATGAACTGGGATTCCCAAAGGGGGGCTCCCAAAGCTATCATTCTTGCAGAAGGCTCCCCTCCACGGGCCCTGGGGAGACTGGACACGTCAGATGTGCCTCTCTCCCATGCTGCTGCTGTCCTCTAAGCACAGGCTAAAGTTCACCCTGAGTAGGTGACTCAGCAGCCTTGCAAGGAGTCCCCCAGGAAAATAAAATCTAAAGGCATAACAAAGTGGCATTCAGGGACACAGGCTCCCTAGCCAGCGACTGGTGCCTGGAGACCCCGCAGCTTAGGCTGCCGTTGGTCTTCCACCCTGGCACTATGAGGCTGTGTGCATCACCTCCAGCATGCACTGGGGTATGTAACAGGTGCACACTAGCGTAGCCTGCAGGGGGGAGCACAGGTGCCCCCATCGCCTCCCCCGCCATGTGCACCAGTCACACCCTCCAAAGGGCCCTTTGCCGTCTCTCCACATCCCCTGGGGACGTTTCTAGGAGACCACTGGTGACTGAACCAGGCAGGTCCTGGGCGGGTTTCCCATGACTGAGTCCTCCTGGAGAGGTGCAGCCCCAGCCTCCTGGTGGGTTCTGATGGTGTCAGCTACATCACCGTGTTGCTCTCTCCAGAAAGACAATCCAGGGAGCCCGGAAGCCTGTGCTGAGTCTCCTCTGAGACCCTGTGCCTGACCTAAACAACTAGTTTTAGTTGAATAAGACTGTTACTAACATGTTGCTAACTTGTCAATAATTGTTTGGTTTTCGTCCAAAGGGGGAAGCCAGCTGGGTAGGCCAGGCACAGAGTTTCGGGTTTGATGCTAAGAGTGTCCCCCTGTCAGGTGTGAGGTCAGGGAGTTCGCCTGGATGACACCCACAGTGGTTCCCCCGCAGCCTGCTGGAGTCCTTCAACCAGAAGTTCTTTGCACCTTTGATGTCCTCTAGCTGGGCCTTCTCATAGTAAAGGACTGTCAGGAAGCCTGGGGAAGGAGGGCGACTCCTCTGGGCTGCACAGGTGTTTAGTGGTGTGGATATTGATGTGTGGAACCATTGTTAGGCCTAGACGGGTCATGTGTCAGTGAATTGAGGTCCCAAGGTGGTCCTGATGCTTTGCCAAACCCACACACTGCCAGCCCCTCCACGCTCCACCTCATTCACACCCCTCAAACCTCCCAACCTCTTTGCAATTCAGAATATTTGGGGCACCTGGTCCCTGGGCACACAGGGTCCCATGGTGTGAGCATGGTGTCTGGCTGGTCTGTCCCCTTCCCGAGTGCCATGTCCACATACACTGTGAGCCACACTGAGGAGGGATTGCTTCTCCTTAGTGGGTTAAGAGTGGGAAGATACCAATTCATGGTCCCCAGAGACAGAAAGGAACTTGGTCTCCTCCTCGTAATTTCAAAGAGCCTGAGGGTTTATGCTTCCTTCAGAGAAGGCAGAATAATGTAGCCCAGATCGTCCATCCGCCCTATTCTGTGTACTGAGGCCCAGAGCTCTGCACATGCGCTGTCAAGGCTGGAAAAGATGCCCCTTTCCTGCTGGCCTCTTCCCGACGCACCCCTGAGATCTTGGGCTACACACACCCACCTGTTCACACTGGCAGAACAAGGCCTTGAACCCACGCAGGTGCGCCCATCCCATCTTCTGAAAAAATGCCAAACTGAGGTGTTTTTTCTTTTTAGAAATCCATCAGTATAGTAGCAGAAACAACTGCATTTAACTAACGCTGGAAGGTTTTGTTGACTGTGGTCAATCTAATTGAACTGGGTGCGACTGAGCGATTTATCAGCTCAGGTAAGCCACCCTCGCTTGCTTGCTTTGCTCTCCAAGAGGAAACTAAGATAAGACACATTTTGGGATAGGTTATGTGTACTCGGCTATTTTGCTCAGTTCATCCCAAGAGAATTTTATTAGGGGATGAGGAGAAAGAGAAGGGAGGTGATTGGAGGTGAGAAGCTGAGAAGCGGGGGTGGAAGACAGCTGTGTCCAGTGTCTGGTGTCCGTCCGCTCCCTGACCTTCCCCAGTGAGCACAGCTGACCACACTGGTTCAGCTTTGTGAAGTCGCTGCTCTGTGTGAGTTGGCCCGACCTCCGCTGCCACGTGTACACGATGCTGTTTCCATTCCTACCCATTGTTTATCCATCTCTCTGCCATCCCCAAGCTTCCCGGCTGTAAAACACCAAGTCCCCACTGACGCTGTCTCGCGTGGTCCCCCTTCATGCCTTCATGGGCTCCACAGCCATCACAGAGGCCTACAGGGCCCGGCCAAGTGTGTCCTGGCCCGGCTGAGCCCGAGACCCACCCCCCGTAGCAAGACCAAGTGCTATTACATAATCGACAGTTTATACTTTTATTTTTTATGATTATTTGTTTCTATATTGCTGTTAGAAAAAAGTGAAATAAAAAATACTTCGAAAGACGATATCCATGCAAACGAGAGAAATTTATTTCCCTTTGTCTTGTCTTTGTTGTAGCACACACAGGGCCAAGCGCTTCATTGGCAGAAAGGATGGTGGATGGGTGGATGGAGAGAGGGACAGATGGACGGATGGATGGATGGATAATTTTTGAAACCAGATAGAGACATGGGCGGAAGGAACAGAGTCACCAAAATCACTCTTCCTCCTTTCTCGTGCCTTCCCCTGGGAAAGGCTGCTGGGTGGTTGTCAGCACCAGGAGCCCCACGGCATGGGCTAGGGGAGCTCAAAATGCAGAGTTAACGGGAGCCCTTGCCCTTGAACGTGACTGACACTGAAATAAACCTCTGTCCTTCAGCAAGTAGCCTTTTCTGAAGGTGATAATGTTGTCATGCTCTGGGGAGAACTGTGTGCCATGGAATTTTCCAACCACTTAAGGTGCTTCTTAAAGCTTGGAGTGGGGCACGCATGAGGACCAGCTGTGTCAGGGAGGCACTCTCCTGGGACAAGTACCAGGTCCCAGCCCCAGGTGGGGCCTGGAAATCTGTTCTTAACGCCCCAGGGGACAGATGTGGGTAGTCCAGAGATACTTTGGGGGAACCTTTGAAAGACAAAGCCAGCTAGGGAAGATGTTCTTTCAAATCCTCAGTGCTGTCTCTGTGCTCCCAGAAAAGGGTGTCAGAGGGTCCAGGCAGGTGCTACTGAGCTGTTCTGTAGAAAGGGCAACCTCACAACAATGGCAGCTCTCCAGCCGGCCCTTGAGATTACATCCCCTTCCCACACTGTGAGGAGCCGACCTAGATCTCTTCCCACAGTGCAAACTGGCTGCATGGAGTGTGGGTATGAGGGGAGGGGCAGGACGAGTGCTCAGAAACCCACCGTCCCTCTGGCCGTGTGGCTCAGAGGACACATCCCTGCCCTTGCAGACTGGACCACACATACATTCTTTCAGCCTGGAGGGAAACTCACGTGACCTCCACACAATTCCACCAATCCTAAGTGCAAGGCTGCTGAGAACACAGTGTAGTGCTGGGAGGGGGCTTTTCTTGCCAGGCAGCCGAGGCTTCCCCAGAAGGTGCTATTGCAGCTGTAGCCACTCAAAGGTGAGAAAAAGTATTCAAGATGGGAAAAAAAGGAGCACCCAGACACAGGTCGGCAGGGGAAGGCCAGTGAGGCTGATAGAGACAGCCAGGCCAGCTCTCGTCACTGTAGGGGTCACAGGAAGGAGGTGGGGCTTTAGGGGGGTTCCACAGGAAGTTTTCTGAGAGTTGCGAATGATTCATGATCTGATTTAAATTTCAGCAAGATCCGTGACACTCTGGGAGGTGGAGGTAGATGGATCACCTGAGCTCAGAAGCTCGAGACCAGACTGAGCAAAGCGAGACCCATCTCTACCAAAAAAAAAAAAAAAAAAAAAAATAGAAGGACCAGCTGGACATTGTGGTGGGCACCTGCAGTCCCAGTTACTCTGGCTGAGGCAGGAAGGTCACTTGAGCCCGGAAGTTTGAGGTTGCTGTAAGCAATGATGCCACAGCACTCTGTCTTGAAAAAAAGAAAGTGGGGGATGGCACCTGTGGCTCAAAGGAATAGGGCGCCAGTCCCATATGCCAGAGGTGGCGGGTTTAAACCCAGCCCCAGCCAAAAAAAACTGCAAAAAAAAAAAAAAAAACTGAGAGCTGGAAAGCAATTGAGGGGAGCTGACAGTGAGTCTGAGTGAGCCCGCTGGACCTGCCACCCTGGGTGAGGACTCATCTGATGGGTGGCTTGCCGGGGAATGCACTGGCAGAGACGTGTGGGCAGAGCTTTGGACTTGACCTGTGAAGGAAGTACAGGGACTGAGGATCTGGCCAGCAGCAGGATTAAGAGGCCGTGTCCTTTTCCAGGAACGGGTGGGTGTGGCGGGTGGCGACAGTGGGTCTGATTCATGTTATAATCAAATGTCAATTTAACCCAAGTGGGGAACCAGCAGGACTCAGGGCCTGGAGTGCAGAGAAAAGGTCATAGTGGAGGTGTGAATTTGGGAGTGTGGACTTGTATATTTGGATAATATTAAAAGCACTGAAGCTGGATAAACTCATCTAGGAAGGACGCATGGATACAGGAGAGAAGAGGGTGGAATGCAGCATCCTTGGGACTCCATCATCCAGTTATTCATTTATTTACCTTTATGGATATTGACAAATTATAATTATGCGTGCTCATGGGGCACACAGCCATGCTGTGATACATGTAGGCAAAGCAGAGTGACTGCATCAAACTAATTAACAGCCCCCACTGCGAACACTCATTTATTCCTCCCCGTTCCCCCCATTCCAGCC